TTTTAGTATGACGCTGCGTCGAGTCGCCACATATCCGGGCCAACATCTATGCCTAGAATCCGTAAAAAGGATTCCCCCCAAAAAAAAAAAAAAAACAAAAAAACACACACACACACACACACACACACACACACACACACACACATGCATACATACATGATTGTAACAGTTACCATAAATATGGTAACTGTTACAATCTAGATGATTTATACAATCATCCAGATAGTTGTCACTACCATCGGGATAATGGTAAAAAATTTTACCATAAATAGATAGTAACTGCTATCATTCAATTTTTTCCGTGTAAGGGTAATATCACCCTGTTACATGTTAATGTGATATAATTATTTTAATTAACATACAATTAGTAACAGTTATTAAAATGTCATTTTTGATCAACTTTGTTTTTCATTCAAAACGTTTTAAATCATCTCCATTGTTTGTAGAAAATTTAATGTGAAAATCTAAATGAAACTTACCAAGTGAAGTCAGTCAGGATATTCTTGCCATTAAAACTGTATATTCTTGGATTAGATGAAAAATATGCATCATTTCCATCAAACATTTCTTTCCAAGAATTAAACAGAACTTCACCTTTCATGTTCACAATTGGCAAATCTCGATCACTCGACCTAACTATACTGTCGATATTTTGTACTCTAGAGCTTAAAAATGCTCGAAACGTTCCTTTTAATCCAGCTCGTCTTGCTTGTCGGTAACAAGCAAAGTCAGCTCCACTTAAACCATGCATGTCACCGGTAATTGGTTCATTCAAAGCAGCGAGGCGAAGCTGTAATAATAATAAATAAACAAAACTTTATTACTTCTTTATTATTATTTATTTTAAAATGAAAGGAGAAGTAGAAGAATTGTTTTTTGCACACCTTATAAAACAAAAGAGTTTGAGATTTTGCGATACTGAAGGCTCACAGAACTTAGACAATTCTACCTCATTTAGCTAAATCAAATAGATACAACGCCGAAAAATTACATTTTGAAATATTGTGATTCTCAACCGATTAGTTTAGAATTTTAGCAAATAGCTAAGGAGGCGTCAATTTGTTTATTAACTGTATATGAGTAATTCCATATAAAATCACCTTTTTTTATGTAGCTGAATTTTTGACATCTCGTTTGTGTCAAAAAAAAGCTTACTTGAAAAAATGAAATCATCAATTTTAAGATGTTATTGAACTGTAAACTTTTTAAAATTGTAAAAGAATAGTTCCATAACAAGGTTGAAAAATTCTCCACTCGTTAATTATACAAAACTATATAAAGTTACATATAATTTTATATAGTTTTGTATAATTATATATAATTTTATATAATTATACAAAAATATATAAAATGATACATAATTTTATATAATTATATATATTTACATGAAATTTTAAGTTAACAATTATGTATAATTAGATAAAATTATATATAATTATATAAAAGTATATATAATTATATAAAATTATATATTTATTTATTTATAAATTTTACGTACATTTTTAGGGATATTTACCCTTGACGCACAGTACATAATGATTTGGTACATGTTAAAAATTAAAACAGAGTATAACAAAAAAGAAATTAAGAATGAGTTATATAACATAATATCATCTAAGAACAAAGAGTAAAAAGAAAAAATATAATAAGTAAAATTAGAAAGATAAGAAAATTTAGAAAATTTGACGAAACAAGAGGTAGCACAAAATAGTTTTAGGTATTTAAGGGAGAGGAGTTGTTATTTCTTAGTTTGACTACATCGGTTAGAAAAGAGAATAGTGCTTTTGTAGAATTTAGTGAGTCTTCTTCGAGAATTGTGAGAAGGTTGTAATTGTCTTCATCAATGATCCACTGTTGCAGGTACTTTAGTCTCAAACGTTCATAACATGGGCATTCCGCTAAGAGATGTATTACAGTTTCCTCTTGGAAGCGATGACATTGTGTACAGATTTTGTCTGGCTTGAATCTGTAGATTGTGCGATTGATCGATATATTAAACGCGAGAGTGCAGGCTAATCTTAGCTGGATTTTAGACTTTGCAAGATTATGAGGGCAAATATGCAGAAGACGAGCAGGAGGCCAGAGAGATGTACGAGTTAATTGTAATATGCTGGATTGAGCGTATCTATTGGCATCGAGCTGCCTGCAGTATAGTTTGTACTTGTTAACTATGATTTCTGTACGATTCAGCCAGACCGAAAGTGATAAGTTATCCAGCATAGAATCTTCGTTGATTGGCTTTAGCAGAGCTCTCAGGCGCAATAACCAGTTGAACTTTTCTTCACTGTAAGATTGGGATTCACAGAGCCTGAGTAGGCATATTTTTGGAAGGCGCGAATCAGGCATTTTCAGGACGCGTATAATCCACCGGCATGCATTTTTAATTACTTGAACCAAAATATGCTCTAGTCCAAGTTCTAACCGCAGCGCGTAATTTGGAGTGCACTTTGGTAAGGAGAAGAGACGTTTAAAGAAGTATAAATGGGCGGATTCTAGTTTATCCAGCAAATTTTGATTTAAGCCCCAGATGTGCGCCTGATAAGTTAGTGTAGATTTCACCATGCTATTAAATATTTTTATTTTACTATTCCAAGTATCAGATTTGAGTTTGGATAGCGTGTTTAGGACAACATTAGAAGCAATTTTTGCTTTTTTTACAGCCATATCGGTAGCCATGGTACCAGCAGTAGACGTTGTGAACGGGATGCCTAAGTACATACAAGATTTAACTATTTCTATCTTCTGTCCTTTGTAAAAAAAGGAGTAAGGTTTACGGCTCATTCTACCTGATGCTCTGCATGCTAATATTTTTGTCTTGAGGGTATTGACGATTAGGCCGTTTTCATCACAGTAAAGCTTTAGGGTTGCGAGGATCTTAATTAAGTTATTAACTGAAAAAGTTACTGCTGCCGAGTCGTCGGCAAATCCTAGCAACAGTACTTCAGTAATGCCATTCAAGTTAAGACCTCTGCACCCTCAGTTTTCGAAGTAGTCCACCATGTCAGAGATGTATAGAATAAAAAGGAGAGGGCTGAGAACCTCACCCTGCAAGACACCTTCCGTAATTTCTATAGGGTCAGATAGGTCGTTGTTGGATTTGATGTACATTTTGATGGAGGCATAAAGTTTGATTAGAATGTTTACGAGTTTTGGACATAAACCAATGCTTGCAAGTTTGCACCAAAGTTTTTCATGTGGTACTGAATCAAAGGCCCGCTTAAAATCGATAAATAGAATCAGAGCCGAGGCACCTTTGTGTCTAATGAGCATTTGGAGAGTAGTTTGCAGGATAAAGATGTTATCGTCGCAGCTTCTGTTCTCACGAAAGCCTGCTTGCTCTTCAGGTAATAAGCCGTTCGATTCAGCCCAGTATCTCAATCGGTCATTTATGATGCTGGTAAAGATTTTGGTGATACAATTAACTAGAGCAATACCTCGGTAATTTTGTAAGTCACTCGGATCTCCCTTCTTGTGTAACATGAACATAGAAACCACTGACCAATTTTCCGGGACGTCCCCTGTTTCCAAGATTCGATTGAAGAAGGACAGCAAATACAGTTTCCAGTTATCGGGAAGAAATTTTAAGAACTCATTAGAAACCCCGTTGAGGCCTGCAGCCTTACCATTTTTAGCTTTAAGTAAGCTAGTTTGAAGTTCTTTAAAAGAAATATTACTTGACATAAAGCTTGTAGGATGAGAGATGTGATAGAAGGTAGGAGCATGCCTGCGTGGAGGATAAATAATCCTATAAAACTCAGTCCAGTCTGCTGGCGAAATATTGGAGATTGCTTGTTTTCTTGAGCTGACTGTCCTAACTGCAGACCAGAAACCAGAAGGATTTTTTGCGTTCGCAAATAATCTTGTAATCGACTTAAGATATTCTTGTCTTTTTCTATTGATTAAAGCAAAGTAGTCGCGCTTGGCGCGCAAACCAGTTGTTACGGTTCTACACATGTGAAGAGGATAAAGTACGATACATTTTTGAGCTTTGGGCGGCTACAGTAATTGCGCTTTCTAGTACTGAGTAGAGATGGTTAACTGGAGTAGTTTGCAAGCACTGGCCCACTAAAGGAGACCAATACATTTTATCACGGTACAAAGTGGCAAAATTTGAATTCCATTTGAGAGTACCATGGACTGATTTCTCTGAACCTTGTGACACTTTCTTAGTTGGTAAGTTTAAAGTTAAAGACACAGGAAAGTGGTCCGAATGAGAGACGATATGACAAATGTTGAGGCTATTTACAAAGGGTAGACCTGAAAAATGAACCCATATTAAGTCGATTGTACTTTTACCCAGAGCATTAGCAAATGTATAGCATCCTGTAAGGTCACCGTAGGTTCTTCCATTTAGTAAGACAAATCCACATTCCTCCATTATATCATTTAGGAGCATACCCTTTTCGTTGGTAACTTGGTCTTGAGAGATACGAAATTATGTACTGTGGTGAATCAAACGTAAGTATATAACTTCAGAAAGTCATGCGACGCAACAAGGTTATATAGAATTACTATTAATTGTCTTGTTCTTAATTTTAAAAATCACGCAAACAGATGATGATAAAAAAATGCAGCTAAAGTAGAATGAATACGGCTGGTTAAAATGACGATGTTGCTGGTTACACTTCAAATATACTTATCGAAAGAGACCGCGTGACGCATAAGCACAATCTCAGTAGAAATCGGGTTAGTAGTAGTCCTCAAAAAAATTGAAGCTATTAATGTTGAACAGTATCCAAGCTTCACCGCAGGATCAATCAATATGCTTTATGCTTTTTCTTTCTTTTTCATTCTTTGAAAATGGTAACATAATAACGATGTGGCACAAACAATAACACGCTTCGGGTGGTGGAAGAAAAGTATAACCTCAAACAAGGTCGGTTCATGAAGAAATCCACGCAGATTAACGTCTTTTTGCTTTTTAAATAAAAAAAAAAGTTGTGAAATCGTTTAAAAACAAATAAACACTGTTTTCACTATATTAAATACAAATTAAGCAACAACTATGGAGTCAAAAACAATAAAAATAGAGCCCGAGTATATAATTACTTAAAAGGTGCGTCCGTTCGAGTCGAGCGCCACGTACCGAATTCCCTATATAAAATTATATAAAATTATACATAATTTTATCTTATTACATAAAATTTTTTTTTTCTCCGGGTAGATAACATTATGTATAAATTTATAAAATTATATACAATTATACATAATTATATTAAATTTTATATATGGGGCATTCCACGCCAAATCGACCACTTTTGACCCTGACCCCTCTTGATTTGGCTGAAAGTTTACCATCCTTTTCTACCCTATCAAAAACGTCTCTCATAATTTTTTCAAATTTTTTTACCTAACCAAAAAAAAGTTGTGAATTTTTCAAAAAAACCACTTTTTTATTTTTAAATTGCCATAACTTTTTCAAAAATTGACTTATCGGGACGTATTTTTTTTCAAAATTTTTTTTAATTAAATGTTCTTCTTGGGAAAAAATATAAAAAAATTATTCAAACCTATCTTCATCGTTATTTTTTAGATTTTCTGAAAAAACTTCGAATTTCTCAATGATAACAATTTTTAATTTCTTTTTTCTTTCTTTCATATAAAACTTTGACATTTTCTACAAATATCCTGAAATTTTCAAAAAGGTGTTTTTTCGATTTCTATTTTTTTTTTCAATTGAAAAAAAAAAATTTTTTTTTAAATCTTATTTTTCATAAAACCGGTCCAAAAATTTCCGGGAATCCTCAAAAAACAAGAAAAAAGAATAGAACCAAAAGTTGAACATGTTTATCATCGAGAAAATTAATTTTTTTAAAAACAAAAGAAAATTGAAAACAATTGTTTTTTTATTTATTGCTTAATAAATGTTGGGCATTGAAATAAACAATTATCCGATAATCTGAGTTTTATGGTTAAAACGCTTTCATCAAATGGTTTAATACATGATTATAATGTCTCAAATGCAATAATTCTTAAACTAATAAAGACATTTAGCTTAGCTAAGCAAGAAAATGTTCTTTAACTAAATATCATTTCTGAAGATGGCACTTAATCAGTTTTTTTTTTATGAAGAAGATTCATAGGTCGCGCAAACTATTATTTCTCAAAGAAGTTTATAATAATTTAAAAATAAACTTGGACCTTCGCAAGGATTAAAAATTTAAAAAGCAATTCTGAGAAGCTTACCTGGTTAACTTTTAGTTCTATATTTTTTTTTGTTTTTCAATTTTCTTTGTTTTTAAAAAAATTAATTTTCTCGATGATTAACATGTTCAACTTTTGGTTCTATACTTTTTTCGTGTTTTTTGAGGGTTCCCGGAAATTTTTGGACCGGAGGTATGAAAAATGAGAATAAAAAAAAAAATTTTTTTTTTCAATTGAAAAAAAAATAGAAATCGAAAAAACACCTTTTTGAAAATTTCAAGATATTTGTAGAAAATGTCAAAGTTTTATATGAAAGAAAGAAAAAAGAAATTAAAAATGGTTATCATCGAGAAATTCGAAGTTTTTTCAGAAAATCTAAAAAATAACGATGAATATAGGTTTAAATAATTTTTTTATATTTTTTCCCTAAAAGAACATTCAATAACAAAAATTTTGAAAAAAAAAAAAAACGTCCCGATAAGTCAATTTTTGAAAAAGTTATGGCAATTTAAAAATAAAAAAGTGGTTTATTCAAAACAGTAGTTTATTCTACTGTTACACCGGTATCACACCGGTTTAACACCGGATTTTTAATACCGCAAAAGAGCACCGCTACACCGGTGTTGATACACAGGTGTTACATAGCGGTGTTTAAATGAGTCCATTTTTAAAACTGCTTTTTTTACAGTGTAATAATAATTTAGATAAAAAAAATTATATGCATAGATAATGAATATAGTGAGCCTACTTATAATCCATGTTGAATTCTCCTTTGAATTAAGTTTCAGGAAAAAGTTGTACTCCTTAGGTAGGCAAAGCATTAATTTTTGTAGATTGTTGATGGAAGTATTCATCAACTTATATCTTCATTGTATTTTCATGTCTTACATGCACACATGGTCAGAATGTTTGTATACAAGTTCTAACTTTCGTTACCGGCAAGACACTTTTCACCAATTGAAAGCTGTTATTTCGTTTTTAAATTATCAAATAAATTGAAATCATAGCATATTTATAGTAAATAGTTTACTAGATCTAATGTACGAGTAATATTCTAAAAAGTAATATTCTAAGCAGATCATTACTGACATGAGTGTTCGTATGATTCCTGGTGCTGATTGCGATAAGCAACGTTACTTCCGTTTATTGTGGTTTTTTAGTTATTCCGAGGGTGGCGCCTTCCTATTGACAAGGTCAGTCCTCCCAACTCAAGGTCGATCGATTGCTTCAATAATTGAGAAGATATCGCTAAATGCAATTTTATAAAAAAAATATCAATATTGTTTTTTAAACAGTACAAAATTACTTTTTCTACTATTGTTTCAAATTGTTAGTACAGTAGATCTTTTTTATACACTTATTAAGAATTATCACTTATTTATGTATTAACCACAGTTTTCATAATAAAAACACAGTGAATTATAAATATGAAAAAACGTTAAGAAAATTCGATGTTCAAAGAGAATCAATGAATCCCATAAAAATATATATAAGTATTATTCTGCGTGCAATATACTCGATTACAAATTTAAATTTGGCTCTTACATGTGGTAGCGACGGCGTCATAAGCACGACTGCCGCTGAATCGACGCTGAGCATCGGGCTGGGCGTCCACATCTCGCGGGTGTCCCACCCAAGCAATTTTTCGTTGCACTGCTCCACGTATGAGACAATCTCTCATTCTGTCTCCTATTTAAAATAGAATATAAATCTTTCTACACTGATAGAAGGATTTATTTGTATTAAATAATATTTGTTAATAGTTGACAAATCATTTATTAGAGACCACTTTTTAGTATTAAACAAATATTTCTTAGTATTTACTCGAGGAAAAAAAATTATATATAATTATATAAAATTATATCTAATTATATATAATTTGATCTAATTTTATATAAATATATATAAAATTTAATATAATTATGTATAATTTTATATAAATATATAAATTTATACATAATTATAAATAATGTTATCCACCCGGGGACAAAAAATTTTATATAATAAGATATAATTATATAAAATTATGTATAATTATACAAAACTGTATAAAATTATGTATAATTTTATATAATTATATATAATTTTATCTAATTATACATAATTGTTAACTTAAAATTTTAAATAAAATATATATAGTTACTAAAATCCTATATAATTATACGAAAATATATAAATTTATACATAATTATAAATAATGTTATCCACCCGGGGACAAAAAATTTTATATAATAAGATATAATTATATAAAATTATGTATAATTATACAAAACTGTATAAAATTATGTATAATTTTATATAATTATATATAATTTTATCTAATTATACATAATTGTTAACTTAAAATTTTAAATAAATATATATAGTTACATAAAATCCTATATAATTATACGAAATTCTATATAATGTCTGAGCAGAATTTTCTGAAAATTCACAAGTTTTCTCAATTTTTTCAGAATAGCTCAAACTATATTGGAATCACAGAAAATACAACTAATTAAGAGTTTGTAAAGAGTAAAATTCTCCTCAGATATAATTTAAAACATTTTTCTATTTGTTCATTAATTTAAAAAATAGAGTGCCTCAAAGCTGCACCAAAGATACAGTTGACAACACGTTTGAGAAATCTAATGTAATTTTTCAATTATAAAATACTTTAATATAATCAGCGTTAAAGTTTTTTTTTTTTGATAAATTTTTACTTATTTTGCAAAATGTTGAAAAAATCAATTGAAAAGAACTTTAATTGTTAATAAAATTTGACCAAAGTATCCCACTACGATCTGACACGTTATATAATTTTATATCGCCAAAACTCATACATAATTATATATAATGATTTATATATATAATTATATAAAATTATACATAATTTTTTTTCTCTGGGTAAAATTATTTGTTTGTATTTAATAAATCTGATATTCATTTATTAAATATTAA